AAAAAAATATGTGATTTCTGTAAAATACTATAAGAATAAAATAAAACAATCTCATTTCTATATTTAAATTATGATATTTTAGTCTTTTTAATAAAATATTTTTTATTTAATTTTTTATAGATCCAAATATTTTTTTCTTAATTAAATTCCTTTTTTACTATCAACATAATTAATTTAAGTACAGTTAGAGACTAATTTTTTTCAAACAATCCTAAGAGCTCTCCATCCTACCTCTCTGCATATTACATTCAATTTAGGCTCTTTGGGCCTAAATTCAAATACTTAAATCATACCAACAACTTGTTTTTTTTAAGTGGAAGGAATATGATTTTTCTTAAATAAGATTTTTAGTTCGAATTTTATTAATAGAGAAATAAACGTTGGAAGTGGGAGAATCTCCTCTAATGAAATCTAACGTGACTCAATTCTAAATTAATCGAGATTTAATATGGTTATTGGATACTGGAGATTAGTAAAAAAAAGAATACTTAAATCATAAATTTAACTTAAAAAACAATGTTTACTTATTTGTAGATTTAATAGTTGTGGTTGAATTGATTAAATTCTATTTTCTTGCAAATGAAAATAAAATAATTGTATTAAAAATGTCAGCATTTTTCCTTCTCTAGTAGATCAGTGGCTGTAAGAAGAGATCACAAAGTGTAGCTTTATCATGCGGTAGTTACGCCAACCATCACTCAATAACGACGTATCACCCGGGAAAACCAAAATCCCTGCGCACTTTCACCGATGCGCACTTTAGCAATACCCCCCTTAAAAACTCGCAATTACAATTAAACCCCCGAGTTCCCAACCCGAACGTTAAAACCGCCCTCTCCCTCACTCTCCATATAAAAAAAACTCAACGTTTCCCGGCGGCTTGCGTATAACACCCACAACACACCTATCCTCACGTTCCGGAGAAACGCCGAATCAGAATAAGAGGGGGAATTGCGATCTGGAAGGGAATTTGAGGAGAGGGTTTTGGAAGGAGCTGTCTTCGGTAGCTTTGGAGAGTCTGTGTGCGATCAATGGTGTATTCTGGTGAGGGGGAAGGAGTGCGCAAGTTCATGACGATGGGACCCGAGAGATCGAAGCCTCTTCACAATTTCACGCTGCCGTTCTTGAAGTGGGGCAGTCAGAAGCACCTCAGGTGCATGAAGGTCGACGATGCGTCGACCACCGCTTTAACCAGCGCCGCCGCCGACGATCACCGCAACCAGAATCTGCGCCGCCGATCCCCGCCATCCAAGTTCGAGACCTTGATGGGGGGCGGAATCCGCCGCCGGGAGACGGAGTCGCTGAGCCACAACCATAACCTGCGTGACCGGCGATTGAGGATGTCGAAGCCGAGGAATGAAGGAGAGGCGGAGGGGATCGAGGCAGTGAGGGAGAAGATCATGAAGGATCTCAAGACGGCGGCAGATAAGATGAAAGATGCGATGTTGCGGAAGGAAGTATCAGACGGAGAGGACGAAGAGTTTGAAGAACGGGAACGAAAAGTGATGGATAAAGAGAAGCCGAAGGAGAAAGACAAAGAGAGGGAGGAATCTCCGGCCGTCGAGATGGAGGCGAGGCCGTGGAATCTGCGAACCCGGCGTGCCGCGTGTAAGGCTCCGATTGCCGGAGCAAGCAATAACAGCAACAAGGGATTGAGAATTGAGGAGAAGAAAGTGAACAATGCTACCGATTCTTCTCCGATGAGGAATGAGATGATGAAGTCGCCGAGAGTGAGAGAAAGAGGGACGGTGGTGGCGGCGGCGGCGGCGGCGGCGGCTGCGGTGGAGAAGGAAAGAGCGAAATTCTCGGTGGCGCTGTCTAAGAAGGAGATCGAGGAGGATTTCATGGAGATTTTGGGGCATAGGCCTCCCCGCCGACCAAAGAAGCGGCCAAGGATTGTGCAGAGACAATTGGACGTGAGTTCGATGCCATTGAATTCGTTTTTCTGAAAAATTTTAAACTGTGCTTTCCTTTGTTTTTACTTTTCTGGGATTCTGATTTCCATGTCGTCTTCTTTACTTCTTTATTGGTTTTGGGTGCAGTCGTTGTTTCCTGGATTATGGTTGACCGAGGTCTCAGCGGAAGCCTATAAGGTACCGGAGTCAGCTGAGAATGGCAAGGTAAATATCTCTATCCTTTATCCCTCTGCTGATTGTTTGGTTGCTGGGAAAATCTGGAAATTTTTGCAGAAACTGGAGTTTTTGAATCCTGGGTTCTATCAAGTTCACAATTCCAATACATGAGAATGTGAAATTGAACAACTTTCCCCTATTGTTTTACTGAATTAAATATTTCTCCACAACCAATAGATTGTTTGTTCTTCAGCTGCTTAAAAACTTGTTTCTTCACCATGTTGATTGGATTTCCTTTCTAAATTCATGAGCTTGATTTTCTGCAGAGGTAGTGATGGGAGGGAGAGGTGGCCCGTGAGGAAGTTTCAAGGTTTCTGGAGTTCTTGCTGACTGGTAACTTTATGACGCAGCTGGTGGTGTACAACAGTACCACATTATCTTTGTGAATTTGGAATTTGATAAAAATGCAGAGGCTTCTGGTAACTTGTGATGAAGTTTAGTTGCTTTGAAAGGCTAATTTTGTTTTGTTATAATCTTCATTCATTTTTCTCTTCCTTTAGCTCATTAGCTGAATAATCTTGTGTAAAGAAAGGGGACGACTACATTTTTATTAGATATAAAAGAACGCTTCTTTTATGAGCTCGTTTTTCTGATTACATCTTGTTTAGTTGCCTTGCAAATCTTTGAATTTTATGTGGTATTTGATTGTCTACTCAAAAAGAAAGTGCTTGATTTAGCAGTAGAAGGCCGACGAAGTGCAACTATTATGCAACCCTCTAAAATTTGGAGGTTTTGTTGCTCATTAGCATGCAACTCAAATGAGTCAGATTGCAGCGCATGCAGTTTTGATCTTGTTTAAGACAAACAGTTGTTCGCAAATGGTTACTGCAGTCTGTTCTGCTGTGATGCATCCTCGTACTTTATGCTTTAGGTTTTGTGAATTTAGTTCAGAGTAGGCTCAATTCTTCTCTTTCTTTCTGTGTCAACTCATTTCTGGATTTCTTCTTCTGCTTCTTGCTTGCATAGATTAGGATGCTTTGGTAAGTAAAAGAAACACTGTGATTTTGACAGGGATCAACCAATGCAGGCTTTAGTAGTTGGCATTCTGAATGTTTTTTCACCTCCTTCTTTCTAAATCTCACCCAAATCGACAGAAATTACAGGCTCCTTTAGCCTATAGCTCAATGCAGGCAAGCTTGCAATCATGTTTCTTTTATCTATAGTCCTCAAAATGAAGTTCCAAAGTGTCTGGTTCTATATTGGTTTGATTTAAAAATTAGACGAAACAGGCAAGCAGCAACAATCTGAACAAGTTCTTGCATTCTTCCATGTTAATTGCATGGACGAATCCGAAGCAAGAGCAATTTGTCCGAGTAGTTGTATCTGCAATGGAAGTTCTATATGCAGATTTTTGAATTCCCTATATGTTGTGTCGGTGAGACGGGTAGCAGAATCTAATACCACAATTTTGGAGGCAGCTCTCCTTAGTTTTTCCCTTCAAATTTTATAGTATGTAGAATTTACCGAATTTTATGTACATTTTTTGTAATTTAAACTGGGGGTAGGCACATTTCAAGTATTATTGAACTATCAGAATTTTTGAATTTTAGCTCAGATATTTTAGATACTTGTATAAATTCAGATAAAACTGAAATAACCGAAATTAATTTTAATTCATATATAATTATTGACTCATAGTTGAAAGTACCAAAATAACTCAACAAACTATTTGAAATTTTTTATTATAAATTTATTTTATTTTTTTATTTTAGTTTTTATACTATGTAAAATTTTTTTGGACAAAATTTTTTAGTCAAATTTATATATAAAAATATGTAGAAAAAGAATAGAAATAATTAAAATAAAAAAATTAATGAAACAAAGTGAAGAATAATGATATATTTTAATTATTTTAATTAATTAACTAAAACAACCAAATAATTTTAGACAATCAAATTATAACTAAATTAAAATTTTAATTCAAACTGAATATAAAAACCTTGTCTAAAATTATTTTGAATAACTTAAAATTTAGTTCAATTCTAATATGAGCCAAATGTCCAACCAAGTTTAGATTGCTAGGCTCGTATTCAATTTTTTTTTTTTTGAACAAATTACAATTTGAAAGCGAAGAATTTGAACTTTAATCTTAAAATTAAAAGTGCATTTTTATAATAAAAATATATAATTATAGGATCATAAAATCTAAGTGCTGCTCGTATTCAGCTATTTAAATTATACAATATAGTATTTTTTTTTTGTTTTTTAACAGAATATGAATATAGTTATTTTAGTGTTTAAGATGTGACGGATTCAGATTCTTGGTCTGCTTTGTCGCGTCTGCTTCTTTTATCTAAACCTTATGGTTTAAGTACCATTTTGGTCCCTCAACTATCCACTTTGGTACCAAAATTGTCCCTCAACTTTAAAAAGTACCAAAATTATCCTCAAACTTTCATTTTCGGTACCAAAACAGTCCTTCCGTCAGTTAAATGACAGGTGTCACGTTAATTTGCCAGCAAATCAGTTCTTTTTTTGCTTAACTAATGACGTGGAAAAAAAAACCATTGTTGGCTTATGAGTTGGCATTAGTTGGCATTTTTATTTAATTTTAAAATAATAATTTTTTTTTCATCCACATCATCTCTTCTTCCTCTTTCACTTTCTCTCTCCTTTTCCCTTACCTCCGCAAACCAGATCTGGGTTTTCTCTCAAACTTCATCTTCTTCCTCCTGTCCTCCTCCTTCCTCATCCTTCTTCTTTTTTCTTCTTATTCTTTCTTTCTCTCTCTTCTCCCTTCTCCTTCCTCTCTCAAACCCAGATCTGGGTTTTTCTCAAACCTAGATTAGGCATTTCAGCAACCTCGCTTGCTCGTGGCACTGCTACTCCGACGACTCAAGCTGGACACCGTAATTCCCTGGCGGCCCAAGAAGAAGGTGGTGGTTGTAATGGGGCAGACCAGAGTCGGCAAGTCACGGCTCTCCATCGAACTCGCCACCCTGTTTCCGGTGGAGAGCATAAACTCAGACAAAATACAAGTGCATGAAGGACTAGACATTGTCATTGTCACCAACAAAATAACAGAGGAAGAACGAAAAAGAGTTCCCCACCATTTGTTAGGAATAGTAGGCCCCAATGTCGATTTTTTGACATCGGATTTTTGCTACCGGGCATTGATTGCCATGGAGAAATTATATTCTGTCCTGCAGCCAGCTTCCAGTCATTGCAGGCGACTCCAATTCCTACATCGAGGCTTTGATCGACGACGTAGACCACCGGTTCCGATCAAAATTCGATCCTTGTTTCCTTTGGGTTGAGGTCACAACGCCGGTGCTCTATCAATATGTCTCGGAGCAGGTCGACCGGATGGTTAAGAACGGAATGATCAACAAGGTGAGGGAGTTTTCTCCATCAGCGGGGATTAAAAAAGGGGATCAGGAAAGTGATTGGAGTTCTGGAGTTCAATATGTACTTCCGACTGGAACAGTTTCTGGACAAAGAAAGCAGAGCCGTGTTGCTGAAGAACCAGCAGTGGACGCCATTGTCCTCTTCTTCACCACGGCTTCCTCACAGGGGAGTAGCAGTGCTAGAGCTCGTCCAAGATGGACGAGGTGAGCAAGGTTGCTGAAATGCCAGATCTGGGTTTGAGAGAAGAAGAAGAAGGGAGAAGAGAGAGAAAGAAAGAATAAGAAGAAGAAAGAAGAAGGATGAGGAGGGAGGAGGAAAGGAGGAAGAAGATGAAGTTTGAGAGAGAACCCAGATCTGGTTTGCAGAGGTAAGGGAAAAGGAAAGGTAAATGAGAGAGAAAATGAAAGAGGAAGAAGAAATCTGACGTGTGAAAAAAAAAAGAATTATTATTTTTAAATTAAATAAAAATGCCGACTAATAAAAAAATAAATGCCTACAATGGTTTTTTTTTCCACGTCATTAGTTAAGCAAAAAAAGAACTGATTTGCTGGCAAATTAACGTGACACCTGTCATTTAACTGACGGAAGGACTGTTTTGGTATCGAAAATGAAAGTTTGAGGATAATTTTGGTACTTTTTAAAGCTGAGGGACAATTTTGGTACCAAAGTGGATAGTTGAGAGACCAAAATGGTACTTAAACCAAAAATGAATGGTGGGGTGGGTGCGGGTGTGGTGGTGTGCAATGCCAATCAAATATGGTGGTTGGTGGAACCCACGAGCGGGTGGATTGTTGGCATGGTATCTTTTCGGTTTAATTAGAGATTTTGATTTTAAATATTGATAATGTAATTTCATTAAAATTCATGAAAAAAAATTTTATCGTCTGTTAGTTCTGTTTGATTCAAATCCAAATTATTCAATAATTCAATAAATTTTCAGATACCAAGTGATTCATATAAAAAAAAAAAATTTGTTGGTGGATCATAATACGATGCAGCAGCAGGGTCCACAAGTTGCTATCAAAACTATCATCTAAGTTTAGGACTTTGGTTAGGTCCCCACCCTCACGATTTCCTTGTGAAAAAAACACAATAGCATATGAGGGTGTGGTTACAGTCCCACTTAAAATTGCAAATTAGATATAAATTTAAATTTCTTTTAATAAATAGTTATAATATTTTCAAATATTATT